TATTTTTCTTTTTGAGACAGGGTCTCCCTGTAGCCCCAGCTGTCCTGGAACTCACTATGTAGACCAGGATGGCCTTGAACTCACAGAGATCCGCCTGCCTCTGCCTCCTGAGTGCTGGGATTAAAGGCGTGTGCCACCATACCCGACTCCATTCTGCCCCCTTTTAAGGGAAAAGGAGGGGCAGGAAGAGCAGTCAGGTCATGGTGGTCTAGACTAAAGTGGCAGTGGTACAGGTGGAAAAATCAAAGTGCAAGAGAGAAAGATGAGATCAAAACACCAATGCAGGGGAAAGGGGTGCAGAACAGGAGGACCAACCATGATTTACACCATAGAGGTGATCGTCTTAACTCATTGGGTTATGGAAATTGGGAGGACCATGTTTGTGCATGATTATGTGAACTGCACCGTCCAGGCGATAGCTAGGCACACGGGTCTGGTGCTTCAGAGAGGATGGCTAGTAACAGGTCTGAAGAGACCCCCGGCGGGAAGCCACCCTAACCCTATCCGCTAAGGCTCCTGGCCCCCTCAAGGTGGCGCTCCAGCCTTGCACTTCAGAGGCGCGTTTTCTGACCTGCCAGTTCAGTATCTTGCTTCCCTCCCAGGACAAGCCGCCCCTAGGTCGTGCCCTCTGCTGGGGTTTAGCTGGGGATCCAAAACAGGAGCTGACTCTGGAAAGCATGTCGTCCACGCGGCCAGCACATGCGTGGAGGCTCAGGGACCTCAGGGCGGGTGATGTGGCTCGCATGAGCACCTGTCCCCTGGGCCGCCTCCAGAAGCCAACACCCGGAATCGTGTAGGAAAAGGGCCAGTAGGTCGTGCCCCAACCCGGGATACAAGCAAAGCACCAACCACGGTGCCGGTCCTCAGACACACCGGGAACGGAAGTTACTGGCTGCTTGGGTCACCCTCTAGTGGGAAGCGTGTCGCGGACCCTTTAAGGCTCCATCTCCCTGCCCTCCCCCGCCTAGGACAGGCCGGGACACCCGGGACCTGACATTTGGCGGCGCCTAACGTGGGGGTCTAAAAATAGCCACCCCGGGTTACTTCAGGGCATTTTCTCAGCCCGCCACCCCGGCCCCCCTGCCCCGCGCTGTGTCTTGCTTTTGGAGTTAACCCCTCCCCTGGCCAGCGGACCCAGCCCACCCAGTCCTCCGCGACCCCGCAGGGGACCAGTCGCTGCACTAAACTGAAGGAATCTAGGGTCCAGGAATCTGGGTGGCGGACGGAGTTCTAGCACGTGGCTGGGCGGAGCCTTTTGTTCGGAGGATCCTGCAGTGGACACTCGGAGGCTGGCGGGAACCCGGGGGGCGTGTCTCGCCAAGGCCGGTAAGGGGCGTGGTCTCCCGGCTCAGCGCCACTAATTGGAGCCAAACTTTGAAGCCGCAGGCTAGTGGGGCGGGGCTTTTTGGGGTGTGCGGGCTCCTGGCCAATGGGTGCCGTGAAGGGCGTGGCCCGCGGCGGGGCGGGATGAGGTGGGACAGCATCTTTCCCCGCAGCCGGGCTCTCCAGATCCTGAACCCCGCTGCCATCAGACTCTCTGGGCTACGGCTGTGGGTCCCGCCAGGCCCCTCCATTGCGCACCGCTTCGGGACCCCGTGGCCCCTCTTCTGCCCGCCAGGCCGGGGCCTGCTACCCCAGCCGCTCCTCACCGCTGCAGCTCCCGAGCCTTCGGTTCTTCTAAAACAAGATGCCGTCGGGTTTCCAGCAGATCGGCTCTGAAGTAGGTTCAGCGTGCGGGGGCACGGGGGTCTCTGAAGACGGGGACAGGGGTCCGGCTTTTCTTGGGTTGGGGTCGCGGTTGGGGTCAGCTAGGAGGCGGTCCGTGCGCAAGCGCAGGGTTTGGAGGTGGGGGGCTGGCTATTTATACCTGTCCTAGAGAACCCGTGACTGTCTGATTACAATACCGCCAAGAGGTAGAGTGGGTCTGAGAGACTCCTCCAGGCTCAGGACACCCGCCACTGAATTCTAGTGAATCCAGAGCTCTTCTCCTTCCCTACTGTATGCAGGACTTGGGAGCACCCTGCACTCATTCGACTTGGGAAGGCAGATCCCCAGTCTCATGACCGCCTATTCAGACTCACAGGCAGTGTTTCGAGGACCTAAGTCACTTCGTAGGCCCCACCCCCACTCCTGGCCGCCCTCCAGGAGGCTGAACTTTCTCTTGGCCCTGCGGTGGGTGGAGGGGCAGAGGGGAGTGTCACCCCCCCACACACACACACACACTCCAGCTCAGGTTTCTGCCTGGAGACAGTCTGTGCCGCCAGCCATCAGCCACCACTGCCACCACCCCTCACGCCACCATCCCTCCCTCTTCCCCTGGGCATGGCTCGAACTTGCTAAAACTCCTGCCACAGCCCCTAGTTCTTGGTGGCAGCTTAGAAGCAGAGGGGAGGTCAGACTCAGACTTAGAAAGGCACCCCAGAGGAATGACCTAGATGTCCTTTTTGGAATTGCCCTTCTTGGGCCTGTTAAAGGCCTCCTGGAGTCAGCAGAGGTTCCAGAGGGAAGAGAACAGAACTCGGTGCTGATGAATAATGCTTCACTAGTCAGTTTCAAAAAACCAGCACCATCTAGAATACTGTTAACATTTTATTTTGATTTTCACAATGTTTTCACTGATGGACAAGTACTCAAGAGAGGCAACATCACTTCACAGAAGAGTAAACCTAGGTTCAGTTTAGAATGGGGAAGTGACTTACCCAAGGTCACACAAATCTATGCCTATCTCAAGGTCACAGAAAAATTCTGAGACTTAGATCCTCAAATATTTCTCTGTAATGTGGCCACAAACATCCCATTTTTCTTCCATGCCCCAGCCTGTTGGGTTCTGTTTACATTGAGATCTTTGGACAATTCCTAATATGGCCCACTTTCTCTCACCCAGTCTGTTGGATAGAGCCCAGCATCTTCATGCTCCAGCTGGGCCTGAGTCCCTGAAGCATGATTCCATGTGAAATGCCCCTTTGCTTCTGTCTGTCCAGGATGGGGAACCCCCTCAGCAGCGAGTGACTGGGACCCTGGTCCTTGCTGTGTTCTCAGCTGTGCTTGGCTCCCTACAGTTTGGCTACAACATTGGGGTCATCAATGCCCCACAGAAGGTGAGGGACCTGCTGCTGTCAGGGTGGGAGTACTTCAGAAGTGGTAGGAAGGAAAGTGCATTCACTCCTGTGTTGTTCCACCCAGGTGATTGAGCAGAGCTACAATGCAACATGGCTGGGGAGGCAGGGTCCTGAGGGTCCCGACTCCATCCCACCAGGCACCCTCACTACCCTTTGGGCTCTCTCTGTGGCCATCTTTTCTGTGGGGGGCATGATTTCCTCCTTCCTTGTTGGCATCGTCTCTCAATGGTTGGGAAGGTATGGAGCTGGAGGGCAAGGGCAGTGGGGGTGGGGGTAGGAAGGAGGGCCATAGCACAGGTGTCCTGACACAGCCCTACTCTGTGTGTCCGCCAGGAAAAGGGCTATGCTGGCCAACAATGTCCTGGCAGTGCTGGGGGGTACCCTCATGGGCCTGGCCAACGCTGCTGCCTCCTATGAGATACTCATTCTTGGACGGTTTCTCATTGGCGCCTACTCAGGTACCCATAGGTGCTATGGCTCTACCCTGTGCTGTTCTCTCCGTCACCATGCCTGGGCTTCTGGATGAGAGTGGACAGCTATCCTCAGCCCTCTCTTCTTCCTTCTTCCCAGGGCTAACGTCAGGTTTGGTGCCCATGTATGTGGGGGAAATTGCCCCTACTCATCTTCGGGGTGCCTTGGGGACACTCAACCAATTGGCTATCGTCATTGGCATTCTCGTTGCCCAGGTAAACAGGCCTGGCTTGTGGGGAGCTAGGTATGAGTTAGAGTGAACCTCTGTAACTGGGCAGGAAGAAGGCCAGAGTCCCCTATCTGTCTTCCCTACTTTCTCCTACAGGTGTTAGGCTTGGAGTCCATGCTGGGCACTGCCACCCTGTGGCCGCTGCTCCTTGGCATCACAGTGCTTCCTGCCTTCCTGCAGCTGATTCTGCTGCCCTTCTGCCCTGAGAGCCCACGATACCTCTACATCATCCGGAACCTGGAGGGGCCTGCCCGAAAGAGTGAGCTCTCACCTTGCATCTAGCCCAGGCTCACAACTTCACCCCCTCTTGCTAGCACCTGGCCTCCTCTCAGGCCCCATAAGGCCTGACATTCCCCACCCCCAGGTCTGAAGCGCCTGACGGGCTGGGCTGATGTATCCGATGCACTGGCTGAGCTGAAGGATGAGAAACGAAAGTTGGAGCGTGAGCGGCCATTGTCTCTGCTCCAGCTCCTGGGTAGCCGCACCCACCGGCAGCCCCTGATCATTGCAGTTGTGCTACAGCTGAGCCAGCAGCTCTCAGGCATCAATGCTGTACGTATGGAACAACACGGGTCAGGCACCAGCCTGGGTGAGGGTGAGGGTGAGGGTGAGGGTTGGGGGATAAGGGGAAGGGGGGGGACAAGCCACCTCCTGCATTAGCACTCAGGCTCAGTCCAGTTTGGTGTGGTTGGAACAGAGGACCAGACATTCCTGCCATCACTTTTCCTTCTTCACTTCTAGGTTTTCTATTATTCAACCAGCATCTTTGAATCAGCAGGGGTGGCACAACCAGCCTACGCCACCATAGGAGCCGGCGTGGTCAACACTGTCTTCACCTTGGTCTCGGTAACTTCCTGCCTGTAGAATGGCCCACACTACTGGCTTTACAACCTTGGATGCCCCAAGAGGTCCTGCTCTTGGTCTCTCCACCTGACTACATAACCCCCCTCAACTTTGCCCACAGGTGCTCTTGGTAGAACGTGCTGGGCGTCGGACACTTCATCTCCTGGGCCTGGCGGGCATGTGTGGCTGTGCCATCTTGATGACTGTGGCTCTGCTTCTGCTGGTGAGGCCTAGGGGCTGTGAGGCTACAGTAGTCTAACCCATGGGAATAGCCCCAAGAGGCTCTGTGGCTGGCTAGAACCACGATTTAACATTCATTTCCTGAATTCTGGGGCAGGCTGTGTGCCAAGACCATGATTATTTGGCTACAGTGTCTATGGGTTGTGCTTCTGAGTGACCCCCGCCATACTGGGCCTGCTCTGGGAGATAGCTATAACACAAGTCTAGCAGGCAAAGAGTCCCTGTGAAGCCTCAGGAGCAGTAGTTCCCAGACATATCTTCAGAGCTAAGGGGAAATCAAGTGGCATAGAAGCAAGAGAATTTTTTTTTGTCTTTTTGAGACAGGGTGACCCTGTAGTCCCAGCTGGCCTGGAACTCACTATGTAGACCAAGCTGGCCTTGAACTCAGAGATCTGCCTGTCTCTTACTCCCAAATGCTGGGACTAAAGGTGTGTGTCACCACACCCGGCTGCAAGAGAGAACAGTGTATCTGCCTTGAAACCTCCTAGAGTAACCAGCAAAATATCAGTGCTCAAAAATGCTCCAAGGTGGCCCCAACACTAAGGAGGCTGAGGCAAGAAGACCATAAGTTCAAGGCCAGCCTGGACAACATAGCGAGATCCCATCTCAAAAAAAACAACCACCTAAGCACAAAAACCAAAGGTGTTCCAGGACCTCCACTCCCCAAGATTTGGAAGATATTTCAATTCTCTGGGCTAAGAGCAAGGGGAGATCCAGAAGGGCATGAACCAAATTTTCTACCCTCCCTTCCTGGTCTAGGAGCAGGTTTCAGCCATGAGCTATGTCTCCATTATGGCCATATTTGGTTTTGTGGCCTTCTTTGAGATTGGCCCTGGCCCCATCCCCTGGTTCATCGTAGCCGAGCTCTTCAGCCAGGGGCCCCGCCCAGCAGCCATGGCTATAGCTGGTTTCTCCAACTGGACCTGTAACTTCATCGTTGGCATGGGTTTCCAGTATGTTGCGGTAGGTTCCCTACACTTTTCCCAGTTCCTCACACCAGTGGCCAGAGGGGAGGCAACTCATCCCTAGCCCCCTTGCTTTCCGTCAGAGCCTCCCAGCTCCTACAGTTGGTCTCTGTATCGCTTTGGTGGAGCTATTCCACTGGTCAAAATAGTGGGTAGAAATAGATGGGACAGCAGCAGAGATGTATTTGAAACAAACCATGGCATAACTCAGACCAGAAATAAAATTATAAACTTTATATTAATACTACAAATGGCTGGGAATCTACTCCAAATGCACTATCTTAGGATTGCAGAGGGTAAAAAACTTTCTCAATGTAAAATTTCCTTTCTGGTCATTTCCATCGCCCTCTAAATAAGCCACCTGCTTTCTATGATATGCCCAGCTCTTATTAGGGTTTTGGTTCCTGGCTTGCCTGAGGCCACCCCCCTTCCTTCCCCACCCCTCTGTCAACACCTCTTTCTCCAACTGTCTCAGGATGCTATGGGTCCCTACGTCTTCCTTCTATTTGCCGTCCTCCTGCTTGGCTTCTTCATCTTCACCTTCTTAAAAGTGCCTGAAACCAGAGGCCGGACGTTTGACCAGATCTCAGCTGCCTTCCGCCGGACTCCTTCTCTTTTAGAGCAGGAGGTGAAACCCAGCACGGAACTTGAGTACTTAGGGCCAGATGAGAATGACTGAGGGGCAGGGCAGGGTGGGAGAGCCAACTTCTCCACCCCCAGAAGCCCCCTCCTTTCCTCTGCAGCACTTTAACCCTCTTCCCCATTACCTCCAGGATGGAGAAAACTCCTGCAGCCTGTGTAGAATGGGAAGCCTGAGGGAAGGTGGATCAGGCACCGCCTCATTCCCCTTGCGTGACTCTTGGATTATTTATGTGTTGTGGTTAGGCTGTGGCCATCTGGGTAGGCTATTCTCCCCTCCTGCCTTCCTCCTGCCCCTACCCAAACTCAGCCCCAGAATACTTTAGTCCCCTTTAGAGAAGGGGGTCTGCAGGAGAGGAGATGCTACACTAAATTCAGTGGAACAAACAGAAGCTGAGAGCCTGATGTGACAAGTATTTTCCTACCAAATTTGACTCCTCCCACAATCCGGCACTTTCACTGAATTCTTGCCACATACTCTGGGTGAAGGGGGTTCTATCTTGACCCCTCCAGGGGAAAGGGCATGCTCCCAAAGTCTAGCTTCTTCTTCCCTATAGGCTCCCCACCTCCCAGGGTGAGGAAACAACAGTATATACTTAAATATGACCAGGAGTAGCAAGCACCAGTCTGTAGACTTATGGCCCTACCTGTGGCTCCCCAGGGCTGCCAACTCTTATGTTCCCTCCTGGAAGGGTACTAGACCCACAAGCTTTTGACCAACTAAGGGCAGGAGAGGATTTGAAAGGCTGCCTGTAAACACTGACTGGGAGGAGCCTTTGGGTATTTTTGTATGTTCTGAAGAACCGTAAGGAGCCAAAACCTGAGGGCTTCTGTATTAAATGTGTATACAGAGATTCATCCATAAAGTCACTGTATGAAGATGAGTGTCCTGTCATGGAGGCACTAGGGGGTGGGCTAAGACAGACAACCTGTTAAAACCACAGCTCTTCCTTTGTTCTGCCTTGGCTCAAGATCTCAGAAACCTCTAGTGTCTCAATGCTGTCACTAGTACTCCAATTTCTTTTTCACCTTTTCCCTCTGGAGACAGGGTTTTACTATGCAGCCCAAGCTGACCTTGAACTTGTGGCAATCCTCCTGCCTTAGCCCCCCAGAGTTTATAGGCATGAATCATAATGCTTTTTTTTTTTTTTTAAAAGGGAAAAAATGTTTTCTTGAGACAGTGTAGCTGTGTGGCCCAGGATTGCCTGGAACTCAGAATCCTCCTGACTCAGTCTGCTGAGTGCTAGGATTACAAGACACACTCTCACACCTGGTCCCCTACTTCCTTTTTGTGTTGTCTTTTTTGGTGTGTTTTTGAGACAGGGTCTCCCTCTAGCCCCAGCTGGCATGGAACTATGTAGAACAGGCTGGCCTTGAACTCATATCCACCTGCCTCTGCCTCCCAAAGTACTGGGATTAAAGGTGTGTGCCACTATACCTGGCCCTTACTTTCATTTTTATCCACTGCTTTGACAGTAAATACTCGGTAAACTATAATCACAAGTGCCCAGGCACTGTAGGACAGGCCTCATCCTCATTTAAAGAGACAATGAATATCAGTTATGAGGACCCTTGTCAGAACAGTTAGGGACATTAGAACAAGGAGTCAGGAGCTGACCCCGCCCACTCCACATCCCACTTCCACTGCAGGGTCTGTGGTTCAGAACTGAGTTGCCTGTGACCACTGATTCTCAAACAGAAAAGAGGCAGAGATCAAGACAACAAGAAAGCCTGCTTTTGTTTTTACTGGAGGCTCAGGTGGCACATGACAGTTCATAAAATGGCTTCAGAGGTGTGTGGGGGTCGAAAGGAAACAAAAAATAAATGGGTGGAAAAGAAAAACAATCAGGAGGAGGTAAGAGCTGGTTGGTTCCTTCTCAGCCTGACTTAGGGGCAGGAGGTGAAGCCTCTGAACAATAAGGATGGATCCCTTCCTTCAACCTTTGGTAGGGGAGAGGGGGAAAAAAAAAGAGGGAAAAAAAGCCAAAGGCTGTTCCTTTGGCCTTCCTGAGTCTCAAGGGAAAAGCTGATGTTTTGATGTCATGAATTATGGGTAAGGGGGGGAGAAGGATGCTGGGTAGAGTCAGTTGGAAACTGGCAGATACCTAAAAGCAAAACAAGGACCAATCATAAAGGATGATGTAACAAGATCCATCCCTGGCCCTCTCGGTCACTTTCCCTGAGAGGAGCAGCCACTAACCAGATGGTAGTTCTGGGTGTCCTTTAAGTTGGAATCACTCCAGTATGGTGGGGGGAGGGTCCCCACTGTTGATAGGTGCTGAAGTCTAGAGAAAAGCAGTGGCTAATTGAGACTCCTGTTTACAACCTTCTGCCTTTCCCTTTCTCATTCCTCCCCAACCAACACCCACAGTTCACAACCCCAACATCTGGGGATATGGCCTGTAGAGGGCCACCTGGGCTTCATTGCCTCTTCTGGGGTTTCCTGGTGGGTGTGATGCCTGCCAGGAGTGGACCCAGCAGGCTGAGAGGAGGGACAGGGACAAGGGAAGTAGAGGTGCAAAGACAGTAAGAAACACAGGGAAAATGACAGAAAGATGGCTGGTGGTCCTGGCCTCTGAGCCCCTAACCTCCCCCAGAGTTTTGAACAACAGATCCTTACTTCTGTGGCTATAGGCTGCCGGGGGCCAGGGGGCTGCTGCCGTCGCCGCTGGAAGTAGGGACGGTTACGTGGACGCTGGGGCTCAGGTCGGGAGCCATCAGTGGGGCCTTGGCTCGGCTGGGTCTCTCCATCCCCACCTTCTGTGGTAGGCTGTTGGGGTGGCCTAGGACGGAAAGGCCTAGAGAGAGAGAGAGAGAGAGAGAGAGAGAGAGAGAGAGAGAGCCCTAATAACCAGGCATTGGCACCCACTCTATGGGCTGTGCTGTCCAGCACTGACTTGGTAGCTATGATCTGTCTCAAAGAAATTGAAGTCCTCTTTCCCAGGCATTGTGATGAGTACTAGAGACATAGAGAGAGAGAGAGAGAGAGAGAGAGAGAGAGAGAGAGAGACCCAGACTCCAGGCATAGTACCTTTCTCCCCAGGATTCCCTCAGTTTCCCCATCCCATGAGCTCTGGGCTCTTAGAATTCTTCTGTTTTCATATGGGCCCAACACTGGTCCATTAAGGGGAAAAGTGCACCACAGAGAATCTTACCTTCGGTACCTGGGCCGGAATCTGGGTGGGGGCACCTGCTCATCTCCCTGCTGTTGGTCCCCCTCCAATGGGGCTGTCTCTTTGGATTCTTTGCCGTCAGAGCCCTGGGAATACACAAATGCCTAGGTGGGCTATAGGATCTCTCAACTGTCCCAGGGTCAGGTTAAGGTTGGCGCTTCCTGGCTCTAGGTTCTACTTCCTTTGGGGACTCTATGGTCGCTGCCCTTACAAACTCCCGACTTCTTTCCAGAATGTGGACAGCTGGCTCCCCAACTGCAACTCCCTCTCACCTCTATGGGCTGCTGCTGATTAGGGGGCCGAGGGCCTCTCACAAACCGCCTTCGATAGAAGAAGGGTGGTGGGCGACGTCGTCTGGGCCGCTGCCCTGAGTCCTCTGCCCGCTCTCCTTCGCTGCCTGGTTCTGTCCCACCAGAGGGAGCCTCTGCCACCATAGGTGGTGGGGCAGCTAGGCGAGGCCGGGGGATGAATCGGTGGAACCTACGTCGATTGGGAGCATAGCGGCTGCCCTTCACTGGCACCCCGCCAGGCCCAGTTACATTAGCAGCTTCTGCACCCTGGGGAAGTGGAGAAGGAGCAGTCAGAACTTGCCCCAATAACAAATGGACAGCATTTACTTGCCAGCATTTACTGGAGAGCCCCTTCTTTTGGCCCAAGTCCTCTATCCTGTAGCTCCTCTAAACCACTTTCTCCCCTCCCCCAAGGGGCAGTAAAGGGAGTTTGTACCCATCTGAGAAGAAACAACTTGTCCTTTAGAAATAACTGCCACATTCCCCCCAGAGTATAAAGACAGGACAGGATGAGATAGAGAAGGCCCGTCCCTCTTTCACTCCAGAGGGCTGACTGAGAAGAGTCCTGATAGGGCTGGGGTCTCGTGTAGAAAACAGACATGAAGTGCTTGGTGAACTAAAGAGAAGAAACCCAGATGTTACTGACTGATGACAGGGACATATATTCTTTAGGACATATCCTAGAACAGCCCTAGCATTAAAATAATGTCCAGGTGAGAGCACAGTCCCAATTCCCACAGTCAGAGGCAGAGCTGGTCCTAGGTGGGTCAAAGCCTAGGCTGACTTCCAGGCCACCCTCCCACAGTCCTGGCCAAACTGAACCCCATAACAGCCCCCAAACCTTCTCTCCTTCCACGACATCAAACTCCACAGTCTCCCCATCTCCAACGCTGCGCAGAAATTTCCTGGGGTTGTTTCTTTTAATAGCTGTCTGGTTTTGGGGGGGAAGTCATGAAAAAGGTGAGGGCAGCAAGACTGGATCTCTCACTCCTGCCACAGCCTCCACCCAACTCCATTTCTTTGTTACATTTAATTGGAGTCTAGGACTGGAGGGCAGAGCAAGGAGGTGGTCAAATTAGTAGGGGAGAGGGGCCTGGAGCAAAGCTCCACAGCACCACAGAAAAGTAAATGTATTAGTAGGGGGAAAGTCTTAAACTAGGGGTGGTCTGGGGGATCCATGGTAAAGTTACCACTGTCCCTGATGTCCTCCCTTCCCCCTTTACCCCTCAGGGACTTCAAAATTGGAGGCAATAGCAACTCAAAAGCAAAACAAAAGGCTGAGGTGGTCTTAAGTCAAAAAGTGAGGAAAACATACTATGCTTCTTACCTCAATCCCACTGAGCGCTCTCTCCACCAGAGCAGTGGTTCTCAAACTAGCCAGTATCAGAATCACCTGGGAGCATGTTAAAAGAGAGTGCCCGGCCCCAGCCCCACGTCTGAGGAATTCAGCAGCTTGGGGTGGGGCCTGAGAATTCAGGTGATACTGTTGCTGCTGGTGCAGGGACCACACTTTAAGACTCACTGCACCCAAGTGTCTCTGACCTTTCCCTCGGAAAATTGCCTGATTCCTTCCTGTGGTGTTAACCGGTCCCAGAAGGTGGTGAGCATGCCATGCCCTGAAGGGCAACAAGCACAATTCTGACAGTTGTTCAGCAACTCAATGCAAGTGGGACTAATGGTGGTTGATACAGGCACCTGAGGCAGATGGGAGGCCAGCTATTTCCTCATGGGCAGGCCGTTGTGAAGTTAAGAGCCAGAGAAATATATAGTGTGCAGCTAAGGGTTACAGTGAAGGCTTTCAAAGACAGGGCTGGTTCCTCCCCTCAGAAAGCCAACCTAGCTCTTACCTGGTGAACAAAGACATCCTCCTTGGTGTCATTCCTGCAGAACAGGGTGGGTCGTTAAGGGGCTGACGGTAAGGCACTCAGCTCCATTGAGGCCTCCCTAGCTGCTCATTCCTAAGATTGGTGGGCCTATCCTCTCCAGTGTTGCAATTACTTGGGGTTAGATAGGGCCAAGAGAGCAGGAAGAGCAGGCTACTAGCCACCAAGGTTCCAGAAACTGGCACAAAGAGAACTGTACCTAAAACTTCAATGAAAACTTGGACTTCATAAGTTAAAAGAGGTAGGAGGAGATGGCAAGGGTACCTTGAAGGAGCTGGGACAGCTCTTTACCTTCTACCCCAGGGGCACCTTAGAAACTGGTAGTGCTGGGTGTGACTGTCCCTGGCCAAATTCTCTCCTCCTTCAAGCCCTACAAGGTTGGAAAATTCCACTGGCTCCTTCCTTCTATGCTCAAGGAGGGGAAACAGAAGGGCCAGGGCCAGGGGTACAGAACAACTGTGAGAGGACAAGGAATCAGAACTTGCTCTCCAAACACCCACAAAACCTTATCTTCACCCTCAGCCTGGAGGGGAACCATAGCCCCCCAACCATGTAGACACACAAAATGAACAAGGGTGACCAAGAAGAAAATATTCAGCTATTCTATCACTACCTTGGCCCATTACTCTGATTTAATCCCTGGAACCCGCCTTCCCCATAACAAATGTTCCAGTTTTAAAGGACTTGGATCTGCACAAAGGTCAGCCTGCTAAGAGGGAACTAAGGCTCCCAGGAGGGCTTGGCTGGGCAGGAGCCTGGGCTGGAGAAGGACCCAGTGGGGGAGACCTGGTTCTACTCAGAATCCACTACAGCTTCTCCCAGGGCTGGGAGGGGTGGCCAACTGAGGAAAGGCAGCAGTCTCTGGACAGGCACTTTCCTCCCCCGACACCAGCCTCAGTCCCATTAGGTGAGGCAGTCAAATGAGCCACAGCTCTTCGAGGGAGGTTGTAAAGGTGTCATGAGTATTTCCCTTAACAGGAAATCAGTGAGGACCGCAGCTGGGGGCCCTGAGGTGCAAATAGCCCCAAACAATCTACCCCAAAGGCACAGCAAACTAGAACTATTGAAGCCAACTCCAGAAGGTGAGACAGAAGCTGGGAAGGTGAGGGTCACCCCTTGCCAAGTTCCTGGATCATTAATCCTGTGCTGCCCTTGAAGATGTGGATGCAGCTTCATCTTGCCAGTAAGCACACATTTGTGCTGTGGTTAAGGACTTTCAACCAGCCTCAGCTGGACATCACAACCATGTGCCTTGGCAGGGGTAGAGATGAAGTCAGGAAGGTGTCCAGTCCCACAGGCCAGTTCAGAAGACACCCGTTCCTCCCCCTCCCTGGGTTCCTTGGATACCTGTTGATGAATCCGTAACCATTCCGGACGTTGAACCATTTGACAGTGCCCAGGACTTGGATTGCTGCCAGGCAGAGATGTGGTAGGGACAGTAAGATGGGGTGAGGAGGGGGGAAGAGATGGAGTTGGGCTGAGATGAGACAAAACTAAATCTAGTATCTAACCTGCCTCCCTATTAAGCTTCAAGTCAAGCAGATTTCACTAGTAGCGCAAGTATTCTTGTCCTAGTTCCAACAAGTGGAATCACCCACACAAGAAGGGCTTGAGGCTTTCAAAACCTACATCTAAGTCACGTTCCTCACATCCTAGAAATCCAAGCCCTTCATCTAGAACCGGGTACTCACCTGGGCCAAAAAGTGCCACCCTCAGGGTCAAAACTCAAGAGCCTCGCGAGCCCTCCCAAAGTTAAGGATTCCCACTGCACCTGCTTCCCAGGCTCAGAGGTTTAGCTAACTGGAACCCGAGTCACCTAGACCAAGGCTCCCGCCGCGGGGGCGTGGCCAAGTCTTGAGGCTTTATTTTGCTTCCGAGACTCTAGATGGACCTGCCGGACCTGCCCTCCCACCAGGAAGGCGCAGCAGGATTTCCCACCAGGGGGATCCACTTAGTTTGTCCTGCAGCTCCCTGGCCGGTTAGTCCTTCGGGTTTCAGCGCCAGGCCTACCTTCGGCTTTCCAAACCCTGCCGCCCCTCCCCCAGCCCGCCACCCCTCAGAGCAGCCCTAGCGCGCGCCCCCCTCACCCAGCACCGGCTTGTCCGCCTGACTCTGGGCCGGGGGCGCGGGAGTCCCCGAGGCCGCCGTCGCCGGGTTGCCAGGGGTGCGAGGGCCGGGCGCTGAGGGGGTCCCAGCAGCGGGGCCAGAGGCGGCTCCGCCCCCGCCGCCCGCCCCGCCGCCTGCTTTCTGAGGCTCTCCCGCGGGCACAGGTACTACCACCGCTACCACCCCTGCCGCCGTCGCGGGCGCCGCTGTCGCCACCACCGCCGCCTCCGCCTCGCTCATCCCGCCGGGTCCAGTACCGGCCCCCGCCACCACCTCCTCCTCCGCCGCTGCCACCACCACCGCCCGGGCTCGCGGAGCCACGCCCCCCGGGGCCCCGCCCCGGCCCCCCCCCCCCCCCCCCCCCCCCGCCGCTGCCCCCCCCCCCGCCCGGGCTCGCGGCCCGGCCCCCCCGCTCGGTCCTCGCGCCCCGAGCCTTGCCCGCACGCCGGCAGCCGGCCCTGGGCGGAGGCCAATCGCAGCCTGCGGCCCCGGCGCGCTCAGGTCCCGCCTACCGGCCGCAGGCCAATCCCCGCGGCACAGCCCCGCCAGGCCCGCACTGCCACCCCGCCTCCCGGACTTCGCTTGGTGGTCTAAGCCCCCGCCTGCGGCGCCGTTTGTACACCTGGGCCCCACCCCTCCGCCGTCAGCTGACGCGCTCCGCGATCCCCATTGGCCACCCCGCCCCTCTTCCCTCCCCCCCTCCGCCCTTTTCCACCCGCCGCGGGAAATCAAACCGGCTGGTCGCGCCCCAACGGCCCACCTGGCTTCTGTGCGCCTGGCGGGGCCTGGGCGAGCCTCCATGGTTGCCCTGGTGACCTGCTTGGGGGTGGCGGTCAGCACCCTCAGTTCTGGCTGCGCCGTGCATACCCTCCTGGCCCGAGCAGTGCTCAAGTACCGGGGTTTATTCCCGGCCAGTACCCCAGATGCCTTCTCCCCAGAGACTGTCCCCGCACACCCCCGACCTGCAGTATCCAAGGGCAGGCTAGAAAACACCGGAAGAAACAGCTTTCCTAGCTCCCAGCAGTTATCCCCAGCAGAGGCCCCGCATAAAGATTTTTTATATTTTTAGGCTCCGAGTACCGCAGCCTGACCTTGAACTCCTGATCCTCCTGCTTTCTCGCCTGCCGGAGTGCAAGAGGAGTGCCTCGAGTTCAAGTCAGTCTTGGTCACATCTTGAGTTCCAGGACAGCCTGGGCTACAGGTGGAGGCTGTCTCAAGATATAGAAGAAAGGAAAAGAGAAACAAAGACACAAAACAAGAAAACAAAGTTGAGAAGCGCAGCTCTTCCCGAGTTTCAATAAATGTATCCATTCTTGTAGCAACACCCTAATTAAGATGTGTTCTAAACTTTTAGGCTGGGTATGTTGAATCACACCTGTTATCTCAGCACTTGGGAGGCTGAGGCTGGAAGGATCTCCACTAATTCGAGGACAGCCAGGGGAGATCTTGTAAATTAAAAAAAGGATACGTTCTATTTTTGTCCTAGGAAGCGCCCTCGAGCCTCTCCCGGACACCACAATCCTGATGTCTGCCACCCCAGACTACTTTCAGATTCTCCCACGCCCAGGATGGCAGGACCCCTGGCTCCCCCGGGTCTCTTTGGTCCATGCAGTTTCCTTGGAATTCACCCTCGCTGTCTCTGGGGGTGGTTCTCTTCAGGTATCAGTTTACAAGACGCTCCTCACTATTTCTTAGGATACTCTTTTAATCTAAGGAGATGATCTTGGCCATTTGCTTATTTCCTTTAATCCTCTAAACACACTAGGCAGTGAACTCCACAGCAAGAGGAACTTGGTAGAGATCCCTGACTTCAGGAACAACACAACCGCTCCACTTATTGAATAAGCATTGATGGTTCCCAGTTGAAGCTGAGTAGTCTCGGGATTAAGTATAGGAAGATTAGGCGCTTCAGTCCCCCTCCCAAAGTCACTCCTCCGGGGGGGGGGGGTTCCTCTTCTACCTGGGAGGACGCGGGCGACACTGGGCAGCTCTTATTTTTAGCCTGGACAGAGCACCCACGAGTAGCACGTGTGCTCCTGTGCCTGCTCTGAGCGCCCCACGTGCTCTCTTCTGGTGCCAAGGTTCCTGGCCTGCGCCCTGTTGTTTCTCCCTGTCCCAGCGCGCCCTCTGCCGGCCGCTCCTGGAGTCCACCTACTCCCAATTGCTGCCAGGCTCTATCAGCAAATCTGCCCCCTATCCCAACCCTCAAGTTCTTTCAGAGCTGAGGGTTGTGCTTTCTAGGGCAGCAGGCACCCTGAAGAGAAAAAAAAAAAAGAGAGGCAAGAAAACAGCTAGGTCTCCAGGCGAGGCAGTGAGGTGTGCAAAAATGACCACCCCTTCTTTACACTGTTAAGGACCGATATCCCTGTGTCTAGACCTGACATCCAAGAAGAGGGAGATCCAGGCTGGGAAAGGCTGTCAAGATTATCTCAGGGCTGCAACAGAAGAATCGTATGGAAGGGATGGAGGAGTTCAAGTGTGGACTGATTAGCTCTGAGTTCCAGGGTGAGGTGAGAGGAAGGTCACAGGAAGAGATGAGCCTTTTTGTACTAAGATTAAGAACATGCTGGCCAAAGGCTGGTGATGTAGCTCAGTTGGTAGAGGACTTGTCTATTACGCACAAAGCCCCAGGTTTGATCCCAGCACCCTATAACCTGGTCATGGTGGTACACACCTGTAATCCCAGCATTTGGGAGGTAGCCTGCACTACCAGCCCTGGCTCTGGCGCTCTCTCTCTCTCTCTCTCTCAATAATTTTTTTTCTTTTTGTCTTTTTGAGACAGGGTCTCTCTGTAGCCCCAGCTGGCCTGAAACTCGCTATGTAGACCAGGCTGGCCTTGAACTTACAGAGATCCACCTGCCTCTGCCTCCCAAGTGCTAGAATTAAAGGTATGTGCCACCACGACAGCTATTTTTTTTAATGTGTATGAGTGTGATGCCTACACATATGTAAGTGTACCCATGTCACGCAGTTCTGGTGGAGAACAGAAGAGGATAACAGATAACCCTGGAACTGAAGTTACAGATGGTTGTTAGCCACCATGTGAGTGCTGGGATTCAAACCCAGGTCTTCTGCAAAAGCCAGTGCTCTTAACTGCTAAGAGGCTCCATTTTCTTAACAGACATACTGCGTCTATTTGTCCTAGGGTGTGTGTGGTCCAGGACATTGAACCCAGAGCCTCACCAATGCTGAGTAACTCTCTGCCATTGAGCTCTATATCCCCCAGCTTTCTAGCCCAACTGTTTACTTTTTAAAAAAAAAATTGTTATTTTAATTTTAGGTATATGAGTGTATTGCCTGTATGTATGTAAGTGTACCATGTCATGCAGTGTCCATGAAGGTCAGGAGAGAGTATTGAATCCCCTTGAACTGGTGTTACAGTTGTTAACTGTCATGTGGGTGCTGGGATTTGAACCCAGGTCTTCTGCAAAGAGCAGCCAATACTTATAACCCCTGAGCCATCTGTCCAGCCCCCCCCCCCTTTTTGAGACAAGATCTCACTAAGTGCTTAGGTTAGCCTTTAATCTTCCTGTAGCCCAGGCAGATCTTGAACCTTTGACCTTCCTGCCTCAGTCTCCTGAGTAGCCGGCATTCCAGGCCTTAGCTACTAGGCCCACCTTAATCCTCTTTTGATTTTATCAGGTGAAGCATGCCTCTCACTTCCACACTCCAACTTTGCCTGCCTCTTTATGCCTTTCCTTTTATGGTTTGTTCTATCCTAGCTCCAACATCTCTTTCTTTTTCCCACCTCTGAATTAGGTTATCTCTATTCAGCCAGAAATAGTCACCCTTTAGTGCCCATTTCCCATATCCTCCCATATAGAACAGTCATCCTTGGATGCTAAGGCTTAGCACATCAGAGGTTAATACTGGTAGTAACTACTTTAGATATTTCAAAGATTAAAGAGGGAGCATCACTTCTGTCCCCTAGCAACACAAACTCCTAGCAACTTTCTTTTTGTAGCACAAATCAGTTTCTTCTCCTCTCTTCCCTTTGGTTGGAGGGGAGTAGAGAAGATGGAGTGTCTCTGTGTGCTCTACCATGCCTAGCTTCCTTTCCTGTCTTCTAAAAACTGCTCTCTTATTTCTTATCTGCTAAATTGTCCCATATTCTTTTTTTAATATTTTATTTATTTATTTATTTATCCATGCAGCATTGTGTACAGGGGCAGATGTAGTGGCAACAAGTCTGAGAAGCAATGAGAGCTGCTATAGTCCCTAGAATGTGACCTGGGGTTGGGGGATGCTTGGTCACCAGCCTTCCTAGCTCCTGGCTGCATGCTTTTCAAACCCTATTTATTTATTTTTGGTCTTTTGAGACAGGGTCTCCCTGAGCCCCAGCTGTCCTGGAACTCACTATGTAGACCAGGCTGGCCTTGAACTCACAGAGATCCGCGTGCCTCTCCCTCTTGAGTGCTGGGATTAAAGGCATGCGCCACCACGCCTGGCATATTATTTTATTTATTATTTTTATTTTATGAGTATGCCTGTACTCCCTGTGCGTCAGTGAGTGCACCTGCGTCATGCAATGCCCTTGGAGGACAGAAGAGGCTGTCGGATCCCCTGGAACTGGAGTTACAGACAGTTGTTAGCTACCATATGGGTACTGGGATTCAAACCGGGTCTTCTGCAGGAACAGTCAGTGTTCTTAACCACTGAGCCATCTCTCCAGCCCCCCCATATTTTTAATATTTTATTTATTTATTATTTATTTATTTTATGTGTATGAGTGTATTGCCTGCATGCATGTAAGTGCACCATGTTGTGCAATACCCAGGCCTCAGATCCCCTGGAACTGGAGTTACAGATGGTTGTTAGCCACCATGTGGGTGCTGGGAATCCAACCCAAGTCCTCTGTAAGAGCATCCAATGCTCTTAACCGCTGAGCCATCTCTCTAGCCACATTGTCCCATATTCTAACCCCTATACTTTCCTTTTCCACTCACTCCTTAGTTGCTCTCACCTCTGCCTTCCTCTTTGCTAGCTCTGCTAGCACTCTGCCAGATCCTTGACCCTTTTCAACCTCCTCTGCTTGGTTCCATCTGTTATATCTGATAGCCTTACTTGACATGCCTTTCTGGGAACCTCTATCTTGTATTTTTCTTTTTACCTGCTAGTAATACACATAGAAGCCAGGGGTGGTGGTGCACACCTTTAGTCTCAGCACTTGGGAGGCAGAAGCAGGTGAATCTCTGTGAGTTCAAGGCCACCCTGGTCTGCATAGTGAGTTCCAGGCCAGCTGGGGCTACAGGGAGACCCTGTCTCAAAAAAGACAAAACAAAACAAAACAACAACAACAAAAAACCACAATAGAAATTTATTCCTCATAATTCTGGAAATTCAAGATCCAGGTAGGTTCAGTGTCTGTTAAAGGGCTTGAGTTCTGCTTCCAAGAAGGTACCTTGCACACTGTCCTCACATGGCAGAGGAATTAAAGGGCATAAAGGGGTTCTATGCTAGTTCTCTACAGCTTTCATAAGTTAATCCATTGAGGTCTGGAGTGATGGCTCAGCACTTAAGAACACTAGAGGCTCTTGCAGAGGACCCAGGTTCAATTCCCAGCACCTATGTGGTAGCTAAAA